GCGATGTGCACCACAGCTAGGGCCTACCTGGAACCTCCGGGGCCTCATAAATTCCGCCTGCCTCCGTTTAAGGGTTCTCTTCAGGCTTTACCCTCGCCTTCTGGGGAAATTTCTGCCTGCGGGATTTTCGGGATTTCGGGTTCATCGGGTCTTTCAGCTTATATGGTTATTCGTTCATGGTTGTTGCCCCGTCATCAAGCAATGTCTGAGGTAACCGACCGAAACTTACTTAGACTACTTAGACCAGACCCACGTTGCACTGTATGAACACATCCCAGAAATGTATGTACACCGAAATACACCTTGTGAACGTGTCTATGACCTAAGCCGAATTGAGCTTCATATAGTCACCCAGGAATTTAGCAATCTTATATAGCCCTGGACACCCTGGACACCACAACATCCGACAATGGAGCGCCTCGTGGAGAACATCATCCAGGCTTCGAGGACCCCGCTTTCGGACATAAATGGAGAGGTTTGTTATGGGTGCCGGTCTCTCGATTTAGATGTGGCCGCAGCCAAGTCTGCGCTGTTTAGGCTTCTAAGTTGATGAGGGCCACAGTTTCATGATGTAAGGGTTTCCGGGCTAAAACATCATCCAGACTAGCTAGGACCTATAATACTAGGCAAGGGGCACAGAAAAGATTTAGAGAGGCTTGATAGCACCGTCCGCATACTCTTTCAGACACTGAGCCTGCCAGGGTTGCTACTGCGAGCATCTGCGAGCTTGCCACTACAAGCTATATACATAGAATCTAGACGGCATCCAATTGTAGCACGTGGCAGCACTTGCCTATGCATCCAGTTGTAGCACTTGTCAGCGCTGAAGCCAGCTTGATCCCTGCATCCAGTTGTAGCACTCGTCAGCACTGAATGAAGCCAGCTTGACCCCTGCATCCAATTGTAGCACGCGTCAACGCCTGCCTCCAGCTTTGCGCTTGCGGCGGCCAGCGTAAAACTTAGCACCAGAGCGCCGTCCATCGTCAATAGTTGTCCAGTTCTTGCGCAACACAAAAGAAAGTTTAAGAAGATAATGCTGTAACAAGTGTTTCTCAAAGTGGTCCTTCTTGAATCCTATGCGGCGAGACTGTCGAGCGATGCGTCCTATAAAGTCCTCCGACATGCTGCAATCGAATGCGGCTGGATTGATGGTTGCTTGCTGGTTCAACCGGAGTGACATCTCAAGTTCATGTTTGTAGTGGCACATAGCATGGACCTTCGGTGTGATTCCGAACAAAGGCATCTTGCGCACGAGGCAATATTGTGCCAGCTGAGAGTAGCCTCTCAGGAAATCGTAAAGGCTCTGCCGCAGAAAGCGGGTGCAGCTTGGCACTAACCAAAGCGAATGGCCATGGATTCCTTGCGAGAACTGGAGTCCTCCAGTCACCGCTCGCTCAATGAAAATACAAGCACGGCAGCTCGCAAAATCATGGCCCGTGACCACAGCACAACCGCGGCTGCGAAGCTGCACCAGGAGTACCTGCAGCCATTTGAGCAGGACGATCGTGTCCGATCCCTTGCATCCAAGCCAAGGGAACGCTCCTCCACTGGCAAAGTGCATCTTTTTCTTGCTGAAGCTTCTGAGCCCCCCAACATGCAAAGATGCAGTTTCCATAAAAAGCTGAAAATGTCTCCAAGCTCGTACCAGCCTGTTCTCAACAGACCTTGATTCGCCCTGAAGGTCGAAGGCTCCCAAGTTGCACAGAAGCAGAATTGCCGAAGCCAGAAAGTTACGCGCCACGCCTGATCCACAGAATCTATAAAAAAATTGAAAAGTTGTAATTAATATACATGTATATGTATGTATATATATATACAGGTATAAGCACTGACCCCTATATAGAGTATGTATGTACGTATACGTATTGATGTATGTACGTATGTATGTATGTATGTATGTATGTATGTATATGTGATATATATGTATATGTATTTATTTTTGTATGTAAAAGTATGTATGGATGGATGTATATGTAAGTATATATAAGTATAAGTCAGAAAAGAAGAAGAAAGTAATCAAGTAAGTACGTATGTCTGTATGTATACACGTATCCCAATGTGTAAAAACTGAGCGCACATCCATATAGACTATATAAATCTTCCCTGACCATGCAAAATATGACCAGCAACTGATGTTTGAGGAACCAAGAGTCCTAGCCGGAAAACGTGGAAAGGATCTCGGCGAAAGAATTCAGGGGCTCGCGATGGAAAGGAGCACCAATTGTCGAAGGGCACTTGCGCAAAACTCGGCAGCCGCTCCCACGGCGCGGACCTGCCAATGGTCCTTGTCCACGCAGCCCCCACGTTGGCATCCTCCATAGGGGTGTCTGGAAACCCAGCCTCACACTCGATGCACACAGGGATGTCCTGTGCCCTGCCGACATGCTCGTAGCTCCTTTTCAAGCCAGCGTCGCGCAAGCAGGTACAGTGGAACTCAAAGTCCCCTTTCAATCCTAGAATACCAAAGTAGTACCGCCGGCCATTCACCAAAAGCCCAGTGTTAAAAAGCTCACGAAGCTGGCTTGACAAAGCCCGGATAAGGTCCGATAAAAGCTCCTGGGGCCACTGCTTGCTTGGAAAAGCAGCAAGAAGGAAGCGGGTCAGATAAGAGTGGTACTTCCCATTGCAACGCTGCCCAGTCTGAAGCACCGGTTCTGCGCACGTGCAGAGTTTGTTGGGTTCAGCTGAACCCCCAATGCCCAGGGTAGGCTCCAGGCTGAGGACTTCCAAGGGTTGCCTGGATTGTAGTTTTAATTGGGGCCTTGTAATTACATAGGAAAACATAAACGATTAAACAGGTATTGTGTATAGGAACCTTATAACACGATCGAAGTGGAAACTTTCCCAAACTATCAGCTACCTAGTTGCTTCTTTTGCGTGCGACCACCGTCACCGTGTAGGCTGAGTGGTATAGTCCATCGCAAGCGTTCAGCAGGTGCCCCATACACAGCATGCGAAGAATGCACATTTCGGTAGCGGCTCCAAAAAGTAGCCAGTCCACGGTTGGCAGCTGGATCGGACGCAGCACACCCTCCCAACAGTAGATCAGCATGGTTGGCCAATAGATAAGCAAGGACGTCTCTCGGGGCCAGGTAGGGCACAGTGAAGCTTTCATTACCAAGACTCAAGGTATGATGAGACAGTCGGATAGAAGGTCGAAGACCAAACATCGAAACAACCTTCTCAACATGTCTGGCAGAGTTCTGCTCAGACAGTCCCAAGACACCACCAAGCTCCTCCCGGGTGGCCTCCACACCCTTTTGCAGGACCATGGCCCGTTGGTGAGCCGTCACAGAGCTTGCCGGTGCCTGGGCTTTGACCAGACAGCGCTGTGTTCGTAGAACATACTATAGATATCCAGCGACACAACGACATACATACCTGTATTATAAACAGATACCAATATAGACATGCATGTATATACACCTATATATGCCTATATAGGTAAACATGCTTACATACATGCAACAAAGATAACTACGGATATAAGAACAGACACATACAGAATCATCAAGACACAAAAGCTTACATGAAACTTGCATCCGTGCTTAGGTATATGCCTTCACGCATACCTGTACATACATACACATAGATACATACGTACATACATACATGCATATTTACTACGTACATACACACATAACACTTGCGATACCCTGGCCTACTAACGATTTGGGCTCCTCAGTGTTAGTTAGGCAGGGCGTCTGCAGTTTAACAGGTTGAAGGTGTTTAGACTTCAAGGCATCAGAACTACAAAAAGCATTGGAAACACTTGTGAAGACCAGACTTTAACAGTCCAGCTTGTACACAGCACCTGTAGCTAGATCGCCCTCATCATCCTATCCTCATGCAAGTCCAAAGAGCTCCTTAATACCTTTTGCAAAGCTCACTTAAGCCGGAAAGAGAAAGAGAGAGAGAGAGAGAGAGAGAGAGACAGGTATATGTCTATCTAAAATCTAAGAACCCAATTAAGAAACAACTAGACAAACTGCATAGGCCGATACGAAAACCATGACACGAAGTGCGCTGCAACATAGCTTTGCCCAGCATCCCGTGATTGAGCAATCATCCGGAAGAACAAGAAAATCATGCAACTTAAGACTACCAAGTAGCACTGCAGTTTCTTGGAGTTGCAGCTGTGCATGGGGCTTATCATGGGGTGCTTTACACTTGGGAATTTCAGAGTTTAAATGTTTCGGCCTTATATGTGACTAAAGTGTATATATATATATTTATGAAAATAACTGACATACTACGAAGTCGATCTTAATACATTATATTTCCAAATAGCATATATATATATAGATAGATATATATAGCTTATATGTGTATATAGAAGGCTTCGACCAGGGCTAGTATATGTGTATATATATATAATATTGTAAACATATATAGAGAGAAAGACAGTTTATAGGTGGTTTGGTTAAGGTAATATGGGTTGCACTCCATGTTGCGCCATCTGCCACATTCTCCAGCAGATGCTCCAAGATTGGTGTAGGCTCCACAGGCCCAGAGCTTGTACCTCCACATGGGACCAAGTCAAGACCACATCCTCTATAAATGAACTTCCGCAGCTTCACAGTAGCATTTTTTTCACACTTTAGACCAGCTACAGGCTCCTTACAGAGGCTAGACACCGGTCCACACACGAATTATGCACACGCGCAGCGTGCTTCTCACACGCCAAATGCGCGGCTTTCTGCGGTCGAAGCTTTGGAAATTAGCTCCAGAATCATGAATGAATTGCTAGCTGCATCTACAATTAACGCAGGAAAAGCAGGACACAGCCCCTGGATCGATGCATCATGCCTATATACTCTAGAACTGAATTCAAGAGCATACCAACATTAGGCATGTCCTTGCCTGCGGAAGTCCTAGAAATCCTATAGGTCGAATTTAAGGCCCTAGCTGACTCCGTTTCACTCCACTTTGACCTTTTTCGAGGTGTCGTCCTTCTTCTTCTGGTTCTTCATATACTGCAGCATCGGCGCACATCCACTGCAGAAGCTCAGGGCCTCCGTGCACCTGGATTCAGGGGCTTTGTTGCACCTAGATTCGGGTCTTTCCGGGGATGTTTTATATGTGTAGGCACTAGATCGAAGCAAACTATCATATAAACAAGAGAGAGTGTGATCTTACTTAGGGGGTTGAGTAATTGCAAATTAGTAGATATATATGTATATATATAGATAGATTTATATAGTGATGTATGTGTATATATATATCTCAGTTTTAATAGATACTACTATGTAGATAGAACTATGTAGAACATATCAATGTACAGGTCTCTCTGGTCGCTACACGGAGATTGAGTGAAGGAATTCAAGAACCGATTGCACAGGGGTTAATTGTATAAACAGTGTATGTATGTATGTATGTATGTATGTATGTAGATACATATATATATATAGGGGGTTAAATTGGGGTTTAGTTTGTAGGGTTTATAGGGTTTAGTTCAGGGTTTATAGGGTTTATAGGGTTTGGGTTTTGAGGATACAGGGAGGGTCCTGGTAGGGACAAGAATTAGTATGCACAGTAGCATTCGTGTAGATGGGGTTGTTCCCCTGCCTAGCTGCGTACCCGTGGGTGCCACCTAAAGGCCCTTCCGAACCTGCGAGATACCCTGGCTCACCATGGATCTCTGTGTATTAAAAGAGATCCCAACCAAAGGCTTGTAAGAACAGACAACAATTAACGGCACCCTGTCACATCTTGTCTGTGCCAATCTGTACATGACTTCCATCTATATAGAACAGCAATCCCTTAATTGCCCTAATGTGCACTAGAAAGCCACATGCATGGATAGGCACATAGAGCCAGAACCACACATACTATTTTAACTTTTCCATGTACTTGTAACTCGATGGAGCTTGCAACCCCATGCACATGCATATACGGTGTCTAATCCCTGTATACATTTATATATGAAGTAAAAACCGGGGCCCTACGTAGCTATGCCGTGTCTATATACGTCGCATGCAATAGTGCATGAATTCACCCTCACACGAACTTGTATGAGGTAAGCCTTGTGCACCACGTAGGTTGTTCGGGAAAAAACCAGGGACAGCTCCAACAGGACAACTCCGTATATAGATAGATTCCTAGCTGGACCCGGAGCAAGTAAATACAAGCATGAAAACCCCGAACCCACTGCTAGACATATATAGGATCTTAGCCTTTCTAAGAGCGGACTGTGGCATCTGAGGACATGAATGGGGAGACTCTGGAGCAGCAGCACCATGGTTCAGATATGTACAAAACCTTTCTATATACCTCGAAACTTGAAGACTACGTGTAGACACTTTCCTCTACTTGTAAGGTGGGGTCTTCACTCGACTATGCTGTCAGGGCACACAATGTACACGCACTTGTGCTACGTAGATGCTACTTGAAGCAAGTGATGTCACTGCAGCCACAGAGCACCCAGGAGTGTAGACATATGCAAAACATGTGACCTATTTAGAGACGACCTGGTGGCAACAATTCCTGGCGTGTTTGGGCTGAGATGGGCTTGCAAGGGGTCGAAGCTTTCAATTGGTGTTTCTATCTGCATGTAGACAAGACTTGCATCTTGCTTTATGAGCAATTAATTAAGTAAAAGTCTACAGGGATCTGAGTGTGGCTAGAGTTTGCTGGCGCTGGATCAGGCAATTTTATATAAGGGATCTTGCTTTCGGGTGGAGTACTCACACTAGGCCAGCAACTCCAGGCAAAGCTTCTTTCTAGCAAGTAACGTGGCACGGTCCACATTACCTTGCAAGACCAACAACTGGTGAGCCACCAAGTCTTGTGACATTAATCAAACATGACAAGTAAAAGTCTTGCTGGGAATCGGAACTAGCAGTTACTTCCGCTTCGGTGGCACAAGCACATGCTGGACTACGTAACAAAAGAAAGGACCGCCGCTCTGGTCCCCAGGATCCCCCAGGCCCTCACCGCCGAGGCGAATATTACGGCAACCCGATGAATTGAAAAAAATGCGAATTAGGGCTGCCTCCAACAGACAGACCACATCAGCATTAGAATGTGCATGCAGAACGGTCATCCTCTCCCAGGACACCTGCCTGTCAACTTTGTACCCATAACCAGTATGCAGCCACCGGGCAACCGGATTTCTAGTGACCCCCACTTTGTACAAGGCAGGGTGTTTGGAAGAGATGCTCCTGATGCAAAGCTCTGCGTGCGACAGTATGCTAGAGGCCAGGCTTGAGGTTGGCAGGTCAAAGACGATCGCCCCATTTGCAAACTGGGTTCGCTCTAGGTCGTGGATGACCTCCTGCTGAAGTCGGGGTAAGCCCTTGACCTCCTGAGACACTTGTTGAAGCCAATACCACGGATCCCTCGTACGGCGGAGCTTTAGCAGCCCAGGTTTTTCAACCACCAGATCCAGCTTCAGCACAGGGTGTATCTCAGGACGCTCTGGCACGTCATCAGACTTGTCTGCCACTAGCTTAGCTTTCGACCTCACAGTGAGAGGATTGTCCGGTTTCTTCCACTCCAGAAGCAGTGCATCCACATCTTCATCATCATCCCACAAGACTGAAGCCAAGCTTCGCACGCGCTTGGCCATATATACCCTTGAAAAGCAGAGAAGCGAACAGGATTGATCGGCCAAAAGCTCTGGTCCATGCGGCGCACTGGGGCAGCTGGGACTGCAGAACGGATTAGTAGCTAGGATATATACACGGATACAAAGCAGAGTGTTGGTACGCATATGGTACAACCATGGGGCCACAATGTCTGTATATAGGTGTATCTACATATATATATATATATAGATATATGTGTGTGTAGATATATATATATATGTATATAGCACTTCGCAGTCTACGATGACGAGAGATGTATATGTATACGTGACAGTAATAAGCTGTATGTTGTGTATTCTCGATGCATCCAGCAACAACCACATATAAGGCATACATGTATGTATATGTATACACGTTATAGATCATACAATATGTATATACATATATATGTCTATATACATACGTTATATATATATATACACACACACACTTGCAGGCATATACAGACATGCATGCACGCACACACACACATATATATATAGACATACATACATATACAGGCATATATAGTTATGCACGCGCATACACACACAAACACCACATATAAATATATATATATATATACACATGCATCCGTGTCTATGTTGATGGATATGTATATAAGTATATAGAGGAGACAGATCAGGTACAAGACGAGTATGTGTGTATATATATATCTATATACATATATGTACATGTACACATGCACGTGTCTACATAGATATAGGCCGGTACAGGATTGAGTTCTACATACAAACTGAGTGATGCAACATACCACAAGTGTGCGGCCTCGATCCGTTTTTGTTATCTAGTTTTTTCGATACTCTACAATGACAAGACTGTGTCCTTATAGTGTCCTTGTACTGCATGAGCCACAGCTGTGCTGAATCTTGCCACAGCTACATTCTGAAACTAGCTTTGGATCGCTCCCGTCGTTGTTTGCATCACCAGGTGGACCGACGAGCTGTTTTATTTGTATGGGAATGAAGACAGGGTGTTAAATCCGATAATTTCTAAGGGGAATCTACATCTTCAGAGACCACATGAACTTCAGTGGGCGAAGCTGTGCTAACTTCACAACGATGCATGTACAACCCTATCCATTCATCCGCAATTATGACGCCCTCGTAACTAGACTCTAGACATCCTTTGTAAGGCCCCTTTACAAATCATACCATCCTTGCTGTTACAGTACGGAGAACCGATACGGACATGAAGCAATGTTTCAGAGGAAGCCATCGAGAAGACTGCGAGCATTTCTTGATCGAGTTCTGACATCAGATGACACAACTGATTTAGACGAAGTAGTCACCAACCCAATTTAATGAAGCAATGACCGTGTCCAACTAAATCGGCTGTCAGGCGGCTGCTTCTTCGCAGCATCGAAGAGCCTCTTGCTCTCGTCCTGCTGCCTCGGAACAAATTTAACAATATAGTGTAGATATGTATAGACATATATATATATGTCTATAGCTATATATACATATATAAGGTCTCGAGGGCCTGGGCATTGTATTCCGAAGCTTGCAGAACTGAAGCCAAGAGGTCTGTACACAGAGATATAAACCCTATAACCCTATATATACATATATATATATATAAGCCCTGTAAACCCTCTATATATATAATATAAACCCTATATATATATATACAGAGACCCTAATTAACCCTTTTATGTATATATATATATATAAACCCTAGAAACCCTAAACAAGACTTGCGCAGGGTTTTTCAGGTCCACTGCAATTAATCCATTAGTCATTAGTCGGGGTGCTTGAGGTTGTGTTCCTGAGATTGGACAGCCCTGGGAATACGGAGACTTGCAAGGTTGTGCTTCTCGAAGAGCTGATCTAGGAGGTCTTTGTATTGGTGCTATGAATGCAATGTTACTGTGACCCCAAAACTCAAAACCATGGACGTCTAGCTACAACCAGTGCATGGTAAGGGCCGTTCCCCCAATTAAGACAAAAGCGTAGGTAGTTTTAGGAGAGGAAGCCTCCTATATAGGGGTACACCCCGAATTAGTTCATTCACAATTAATTAAAGGAAAAGCCAGCTGCAGCCTCCGAATGATTTCAACAATCAGACACATCGATCCTAACCTGCTAGATCTGAAGTCGGGAGATCTGAGAACTATAGTTTGTTTTATCCGGACTAGACCATGTTACCTTCATGTCTGTCCACACGGTTCTGACACGTGTGTATGCAGACTGCTAGTTCTCTAGACTCTAGGCCAGGCACACTTAATCAGTGCAATATAGTTTGCTGCACTCCTGCGCGAGCACACATAATGCACCCCCTTTGTAGGCATTGTCATTGCCTCTAATGATCTAAATGCAGATAACTCTCCCTCATGTGTGTGTGTGTGTTTACATCATGAGGGCACACATATGCAGCCGCACACAAAGACACGTACGTGTATGTGTTTGTTTGTATGTATATATACACCTATATATATATATGCATGTATATATATATATACAGGTTTGCATGTATGTGTGTACATATGAGTGCTTTACACTCGAACATGTGTGTGTAAATGCATATATAGGTGTCCGCACTTATCTACCATGTGTGCATGCGCACATATGCTGGCAGTAGCTCCTCAGCGATGCCGAGCGTCGCAAGCGTGAAACCTTGATCCTGAAGCACGCTGTCCGCTTGCTTGCTCTGAATGGTCTCCGTCGTTTTCTCCAAGCCAGAGATCACAAGCTTTGCTTTCTCCATGATCCTTATAAAGATACACACACAGACTGACCACACACTCAAAGCAGCCACATAGAAAGCAAACTAGCCTCGTATGTGAATTCAGCTAGAACATCAAGTTGCTTCTCCGACTTCGGAGTTTTCTTCAATTCATCAAGCTGGTCGGTGACAGCCTGTAGCTTCGCGATCCACTTGCCCAAGCAGTTCACCACCTTGACGATGTAGGACGATGGGAGGCCATCTGCATCCATCTCCGGAAAGCTGATGGACTTCAAATTTTTTTTCACATCCGCCCCCCGATCGGCCTCAGCCACCTTCTTGTCATCGCCTGGGAAGGTACTCTAGCAAGACATCCTTGACTAGCCCAATTAAAGGATCCACTCCGACAGAAAACTGTGTTTGTTTACAAAGGCATACACTGAATGAACATCTACGGCCATGCAAAAAGCGTCCCGTATACAGCTGAAGCAGAATCCCGACTGTGTTTCATGGATGATTGCTTGATGAGTGATCGGTCCACAGACTGAGAGTCCATAGACATACTTCTCTAGAACAGGCACAAAACTTCATGCACGGCTCCATTCATCCATCCCTCGATCGGGCCTTTGGGTCCACCTTCGCCCAGGCCCCAATTCATCCCGAAGACGTCGAGATCAGCCTCATCATCGCTTTCTTGCATCTCAGCATCGCTGTCCTCTTCCTCATAGATTTCTCGCTTCCGCTTCCTGGGTGCGAATGTGTGGAACTATATACATGCAGCTTTCCTTCTGCACTGGTTCAGGCGGTTGAATCCCTTGAACACAAAACATGCGAAGTCAGGGTGGGTCTACATGCATGAGCACTCACACACAAGCAGACACTTGATTCCAAGGCTCAGCATCTTGCCCTCCACAGATTTCTCCAGCCAATACAGCTTCACGTCGGGCTCGTAGCGATCTCGCCTCTGGAGGAATTTCACATGTGTAGAAGTGTCAGGCCATGCCATTATGGTGCACACATCCACATAGACATGGTAAATGCAACATGCATACATTTTCGTCCACACCGAATCACCTGCAGACATATATACGTATGTGTATGTATATATATATATATACAGATACAGATATGTGATATATCTATAAATATATATATATACACACACATACATGCATACATAGATGTACTGCATTATTTACATATAGACATATAGAAGATATTTCGATATACGCACATATAGAGTACACATATATACATGTATATACAGAATAGACAATCTGACACGGCCAGACCAAATCCAGAAAGCAATTCATGCGCTATCAAGTATTCTATCTATGCAAGCACGTACATGCAGCTGTCCTTGCGAACATTTCAACAGACGGGCAGACACTCATGCATGTATGTGTGTATATATATCTATATATATATATATATTTTTTTATCCACATACATGAACACACACGCACACACACATATATATATGTACATGCATATATAAATGCATATACCAGTATATATATATATATACATACATATAAGCACACAGATACATATACATATATATATATATATATGTACGCATGTATGTGACATTGCTCCTGTTACCTTCCCAATCTGGGACCCCCCCCCACATCGAGTCGATGGGTGCCTGCATGCATCATCTGCAGCCTCGACTTAACATCTTGTCTTGAACAGTCTTAAAAACCGTTCTTGCACTCTCCTGTCTATCGCTCTCTCTCTCTTTCTCTCTTTTGACTCTGCCATACCACAAGACCACATGAAGTCTAAAATTCCGCCTGATCCATCCTTTCATGCGTGCACACTCCTCGTGCACCGCCTTCTTCCTCTTGGCAGTGAGGCCAAGCTCGTCCATGTCTTCGTCGGAGACAAACTGCCCCGACACCCAGATCTCCGACTCGGATTCACGGCGCTTGATCTTCTTCACAGAACGCTTCAGAAACAGCTCCTGGCATACGTATTTATTAGTATATTCATATTATTATTTACAGATTACATACGGGTGTGTATACACATACACATGCAAAAATATATATAGAAATATGTAGACATGTAGACATGTGCATGTCTGCATGTGTGTGTCAAACTCTAGAAACCAGTCCTTGTCAAGGCCAGCCTTCCTGAACTCCGCCTCCAAAGCTGGACGCTGCTTGGGGTCCTTGTACTGCTCCACCAGCTCTTTCGGCACAAGGTACGAACCGTCACAACGTGGAGCGAAGAGCCGGCCCAGGCGCTTCTTGATGTTACTAGTACTGACCTCCTCTTGCAGCTGCACCATGCAGTCGGCCACCATGGCATCCACATCGCTGTCCTCTTGCTTCACCTCGATCTAGCTCATCCAGTGTGGACAAGAAAGGCAGCAGACTGTATATATGCACACACATCACCTGCATGCATCTATATAAATACATATGTATATATATATACACATGCATAATAATTAAACATGTAGATAACTAAACGAAAAGCGTACCTTTTTTTCTAGATATATATGTGTATACATACATACATACATACATACATACATACATACATACATATGTGTATACATACATA